ATCAGAGGAAATAGATGTTTGGGGAGTAGCAAGACAAATGCCTCCAACATACTAATTTGGCTAGAGCTGCTCTTAGGACTGAAATCCTGCTGCATAGATTGCAAATGTTTCTAGAGCTTCTCCTAGTCATGGAAGAAAAACAACAACAAAAACTCCTTGGCCATATGTTTCCGTGACCCATGTAATTAGTCCTTTTTCAGTTAATATGACAAAAATACCAGAAGCTAGGTAACTTACAAAGAAAGGTTTACTTAGATCATAGGTTGGTTGCCTGAAAGTCCCAAGCTTTGGCAGCCCTATGAATTTGGCTACTAGTGAGGGTCACGATGGCTACATCATAGCATGGAAGGGAAATGGAAGGAGACTAGCGGGAGGCAGAAAAGACTCAGCTATGAGATGCCTGAACTGTATAACAACCAGCTGTGGATAAAACTAACTTCATGATCCTGATCTTAATCCTTTTGAAGGTAATACTCCCAATAACCCAATTACCTCCCCTAGGCCTTATCTCTTCAAGGACCCACCACCTCTCACCATTGCCATGCTGGGGATCAAACTTCCAAAGTATAAACCCTTTGGAGACACACTCAAACCATTGTCAAAGCACAGTATCCACAACATCAAGGATGAGCCAGGCCATGGGTAGAAGGCCTTTCGCACCCTGCCATCAGAGCAAGAAAGGAGAATCATTGGTTTAGGTACTTGTCATGAAAGCAATTAAATATTTTAAATAAAACTTTTGCAGAGAAGACACAAGGTATTTAATGGGAGGGGCTTTCTGTATTATATTTAAGTAGTTCTACTAAGGGATTTCAACTCAAATGAGCTGGTTTATGAGTACCATGCATCTTGATCAATATCACACCTTTCATTATGCTTCATCTCTCCCATCATGACCCATCCCCTCAATTTTCAAACTATGGCAGTTTGTCTCAGACATTTGTTATCTTCTCAAAATAGCTGGAGTCACCCAGAGCTGGTCCACCAGGACATTTGTTCTCAGCTGCTAAAAATGACTGCAGGTTTCAAATCCTCCACCAATGTCAGTGAGTAGAGCCTCCCTCCACAACAGAATCTAGACTCCAGCCCTCAGCATTCTTAGGAGTCATAGGACATCTTCCCCCCACATGGGACATTATGCAGCTACCAGGCAAACCTCAAATGGCATGGAAGCTTAGAGGCATCATGAAGGGACCAGAGCCTTACACGATCTACTCCAGCTCCAGCTGTGCCGTGTAACATTTATGTGACAGGCTGTCAGCTCCCCGAGATGAATCACCGAAAATTAGAGATGAGAAAGACCTATGAGTTCATGTAATCCACGCCCCTGCCATTTCCCAGTCCCTCCCCTCTGCTCCATTTCCTTCTACATTATCCAGTCTGCTTTTAAATAGCAACGAGACACAGCTAGAACTGTTCTCATGACTTCTTCACTGAGAATTCTTAGGTCACATCCAGCACATGACTAAGGTTTGGTGTCTATTGACTCTAGTGTTCTAAAGATATGGTTACTCACTTGCCTCACCCCCACCCCGAACCCTGGAATATAAGTAGAAATTGAGAATTCTTTTGGTTAGGAAGAGAAAAAAAATCTTACTTCAGAAAAATCAAAGGACTTGTAAGAAAAAAAAAGAGATAAATGATAGAGCTTCAGTGTTATCTCATTTCAGCTCTGTTACTTTTGTGACTTGCCTGTTCATCATTGCTTAGCTTTTAGCTTAACAATAGCTAACATATGACTAAGTGCTACTATTACTACCACCACCACCACCACCACTACTACTACTACTACTACTACTACTACTACTACTACTATTACTACTACTACTACTACTGGTTTTGGTACCACATTTTCTTTGATTTCAAAAATCTTAATTTTAAAATGTTTTATGGATAAAGATTTTGGCTAAGATTATACTCAATGGTGAAAAACTAAAGCCATTTCCTCTTAACTCAGGAACAAGACAAGGATGCCCACTCTCTCCACTCCTTTTCAATCTAGTATTAGGATGCCTAGCTACAGCAATAAGACAAGATGCAGACATAAAGGGGATCCAAATA